CTTAGAAGACACTCTTGTAGGAACACTCTTGTGGGACACTCTTGTAGGACACTCTTGTGGGACATTCTTGTAGGACACTCTTGTGGGACACTCTTGTGAGACACTATTGTGGGACACTCTTGTAGGACACTCTTGCGGGACACTCTTGTAGGACACTCTTGTGGGACACTCTTGTGGGACACTCTTGTGGGACACTCTTGTGGGACACTCTTGTGAGACACTCTTGTGGGACACTCTTGTGGGACACTCTTATAGGACACTCTTGTAGGAAACTCTTGTGGGACACTCTTGTAGGACACTCTTGTGGGACACTCTCCTGGGACACTCTTGTAGGACACTCTTGTAGGACACTCTTGTGGGACACTCTTATAGGACACTCTTGTGGAACACTCTTGTGGGACACTCTCGTAGGACACTCTTGTGGGACACTCTCGTAGGACACTCTTCTGAGACACTCTTGTAGGACACTCTTGTGGGACACTCTTGTGGGACACTGTTATAGGACACTCTTGTAGGAAACTCTTGTGGGACACTCTTGTAAGACACTCTTGTGGGGCGCTCTTAAAGGACACTCTTGTGGGTCACTCTTGTAGGAAACCCTTGTGGGACACTCTTGTAGGACACTCTTGTGGGACACTCATATAGGCCACTGTTGTGGAAAACTCTTGTGGGACAATCTTGTAGGACACTCTTGTGGGTCACTCTTGTAGGAAACTCTTGTGGGGCACTGTTTCGGGACACTCTTGTAGGACACTCTTGCGGGACACTCTTCTGGGACACTCTTGTGGGACACTCTTGTAGGACACTCTTGTAGGAAACTCTTGGGGGGGACTGTTTTGGGACTCTCTTGTAGGACACTCTTGCGGGACACTCTTGTAGGACACTCTTGTGGGACACTCTTGTAGGACACTCTTGTGGGCCACTCTTACGGGGCACTCTTGTGGGACACTGTTGTGGGACACTCTTGTGGGGCACTCTTGTGTGTCACTCTTATGGGACACTCTCTTGCGAGACACTCTTGTAGGACACTCTTGTGGGTCACTCTTACACGACACTCTTGTAGGACACTCTTTGTGGGACACTCTCAAAAGCACTCTTGTGGGTCACTCTTATGGGACACTCTTGTCGGACATTCTTGTGGGACAGTCTTGTGACACACTCTTGTAGGACACTCTTGTGGGTCACTCTTACAGGACACTCTTGTGGGACACTCTTGTAGGACACTCTTGTAGGACACTCTTGTGGGACACTCTTGTGGGACACTCTTGTGTGACACTCTTGTAGGAAACTCTTGTGGGACACTCTTGTAGGACACTCTTGTGGGGCACTCTTATAGGACACTCTTGTGGGACACTCTTAAGGGACACTCTTGTGAGACACTCTTGTGGGACACGGTTGCGGGACACTCTTGTGGAACACTCTTGTGGGACACTCTTGTGGGACACTCGTGTCGCGACACGGTCTGCCCACACACTAGAAGCAGTCACGCGAGCGTTTCGTACGAGACTTCCTCCAAAAGTCACGCTTCGAGGCTGCAAGACGAGCGTTTCGTACGAGACTTCCTCCAAAAGTCACACGTCGAGTCTCCAAAACGAGCGTTTCGTACGAGACTTCCTCCAAAAGTCACGCTGCGAGGCTGCAAGACGAGCGTTTCGTACGAGACTTCCTCCAAAAGTCACGCGTCAAGTCTCAAAAACGAGCGTTTCGCACGAGACTTCCTCCAAAAGTCACACGTCAAGTCTCCAAAACGAGCGTTTCGTACGAGACTTCCTCCAAAAGTCCAGCGGAAACACCCATCGGAGCACACACATCACGCAGCCTTGCCTAGCAATTTCGCGATTCCAGCCCCTCCAAACGACACCCGCTCACACGCCAATCCCAATGTGACAGCGACATTCACCTCTACCATAACTCACGACCTCGCGATTCCCTGCGCCTGCCACGAATCTTTCCGCATCCACACGTCTAACGCGCACAAAGTACTGCGCCTGCCACGAAATGTCACCTCCGTCACACCTCCGTCACACCTCGCAACCTCACGATTTCCTGCGCCTGCCACGAAAATCGCACTTCCACACCTCAAAATCAGCACAAAGTACTGTGCCTGCCACGAAAAGTGAGAATATCATCTCACATGAGCTTCAACAAAATTTGCACCACACCACACGTTTAGAATGATTTCGACCCGTTCTGAGCACACTCCCATCCACCAAAATCGCCATTTCAGCTGAGACTTGTCACGAAAACAGAGCTTCGAGGCCACACCCTGAAATGCAAATCCCAATGGCACGGCCACATCCAACACCCCAAAAACACGACTCTCCAAACGCTAATCCCAATGGAACTGCGCAGTAAACTGCGGATCTCTCAAACCACTGCGCCTGTGCAGCGAAATGCATCACGTTTCTTGCGCGACATGTCATTTTCATGCAAATCACAATGGAATAGCGTCGCAAACTGACACGTGACACATCCATGAAAAGTCACTTGCAAAAGCTTCCCCCAATGGCAGCGCCTTAGCGTCCTACTGCGAACGGTTGCGAACGGTTGCGAACGGCTGCGAACCGTTGCGAACGGTTGCGGACGGTTGCGGACGGTTGCGGACGGTTGCGGACGGTTGCGAACATAGAAACAACGGATCGCGAACAAGACTCTACCCCCAGACCCCCAGAGTTAAACGAGAACCCTTCGCTACGCATTCGGGAAAAAAACATCATTAGGTGCTGGGGAGCTGCATCTACAACAAACAGTTGCAGCTGCAGCTCGCCATGCGCGCCGACTTGCACCTGCACTTTTCAACCACCAGCCGGCATTCCAATCAGCAGCCATTGCATCACGTGAATTGGCGGCGTGAGGTTCGATTCGCTTGGGTTCAATTTGTGGAACAAATCCCGTCAGCGGGTCCCTTTGAACCACCCATTCGCTATTGATGTGGGTCTAGTCTTGGTGCTTCATCCTTCCATCGTCCGCCCAAGGCTCAGTCTGGCCTGCTGCAAAGGAGATCAGGTTTGCAACAGTTCCAATGGTTCAGCCAATGACCTGAACCGAGCTCTGACCAGTGCTCTCTCTTCACAGGAAAGAGTGCCCAGTGAGTTCTGGGCACCGTGACCTTCCTCGCCTTGGACCGAGAGAAACATCCCATTCTTTGGAAGACTATTTGGCCACTAGCCTGCGGACCCTCAGGCGGTGCAGGATGGGCCTTCACTGAACACTGTTGATGAGAAACTGTGAAGACTCACGAGCTAGAATTGGTCCACCATCCGCCGGCATGGCATTTGTGGGGGGGTGAAGGCACCTTCGTGCCAAGTTGCAAGAAATAGTACTGGGCTCAGTCAGTTTGGTTCACTCTCCCCTTCATCCCTGTGTGACCACCAAAACTTCCTCAAGCAATCCCAAACCCCGGGAAGCTAGACTTACGATTGACCACTCAAAGAGAACTACCATAGCAAAGTGAAAGTTTTCTCTTGAACCCTGTCAGACCGAGCTGCATCAGAACTCAGTAGATGCATACACTCTGACGAACACATCACATGTGTTACGTGGATGGCATGGTCCCTTGGAAGACGACTTTCCCTTACCGAGCAGGACGTGAACTCCACTTCCATGTTAGTGAGTTGGAGTCTGTTCTAGAAAGCGGGGCCTCTGCAAATCGCGTTTCCAGGCAAATTGCCATGGCTGTTTGAGGTTGAGCATGCTTCTCCTTCCAAAACATGCCCCCAACTCAATCATGACTTGGGCCGATGGTGCAGGGATCTTCATGATCGAGAATTTCAATCTTACACGAAACATCGGCCATGCAGCCATGCACCAGAAAAATACGTGAACTTCAAGCGAAGGATGGTAGATTTGATCTGTCAGGGCAAGTTCTCTCATTTCCGGTCGTGCTGTTGCTTTAAAAAAGAATCCTGCACCATTCCTTCGGCAATCCCAGGACCACTTCCAAACCCTGGCCTTGCGCTGCACGCGCGTCCGCGAAGCTGGCATCTCGGCTGCGCCGGTGGCACCAGCAAAGGCGCCGCCCTGGCGTGGTTGTCAGGGTTTTCGTGGCATGACCCAAAATGCTCTCACCCAATATGTTTTTGTGTTCTTTTTCTCTTGCTCATTCTGTATGTGGGCTTGGGGTCTTCGCCCTCACCCCAGTGTCTTCTCCCAGACCCTCTCAGGAGGGCACCGGCTCTCCTCAAACAACTTGGGCAAACAGACCGGATTGAGCAGGATTTCCATCCACTTGGGGCAAGTGGGGGAGCCGCAACTCCGCATTTATCCTGCAGATTCCGGCAGCTGGGCCACCAGCGACGAAGAATTCAAGCAAAAAACGCTGCAATGGTTATCGAAGCGCATCCTGCCTTGGATCACTTACGCACCACAAAATTGGATCACTTACGCACCACGGAGCTCTAAACTGCTGTAAGGGTTGCCAAAATGACTCAACCACCCGAGGTCCGCATCCACAGCCATGCTCACTTACGCACCACGAATCTCCTGATCACATCATCACATCTTACATCCGGGTGGGGTGGGGTGGGGTGGGGGGGTGGGGGTGGGTGGGGATCTAATGGAAGCTTGCGGTGCACAAGCGAGACAAATCCGCGGTGCACAAGCGACCCACCAACCGTGTGTGTGTGTGTGCGTGCGTGTGTGTGTTGCTACATCCCTAATCTAGGATGCCGACTCTTTGCTCACCATCGCTGTTCACTCGCCACCCTCCCCAAAAGAAAAACAAACTGTCCCCACCTCCAGCTCCACATGCTTCGGCGTGGCGGGCGCGACGAAGCTCCTGGCTTCGTGGCTGCGAGGCCCAGAGGATCCAAAGGATCACAAGGACTCAGCGCCAAAGGATTCCAAGCGTCCTTGCTACTAGTACGGTGCACCTTGCTACTAGTAGTAATGCCAAAGGAGCTACCAGTAGCTTCTTGGATTTCAGGGCTTCTTGGCCCAGTAATTCCAATGGACATGAACATGGACTTTGGGTCACACCCTGTACACACTCCCCGGTGAGAACCCCACTACAGCTGTGGCAACCATCGTCCTGCAAACATCCAGGGCACCCACAGGGCCATGCCATTAGGATCTGGTCCGAACCCACAGGGCCATGCCGTGCCTCTCTCGGGCTCTTTTGCACATCAAAGCGCTCTGACTGCATTGCTCAGCTGTACGGCCCCGAGTTGCCATTGTTTGAAAGACGTCCTTTGGGCGTCGCCAATGTGCTGACTTTAGAATACTGAAACCTTAAGACGAAACCAGAAAGCTCGGTGAGGTAAAATTTGCATCCCCACCTGTGTATATAAACATGCTCCAGCTGGCACATCCTGAATGCTCTGGCAACCTGGATGTCTCACACCAAACAATCATGGCCTGTGTCCTGTCCAAATGGCCCCAAACCCACCAGGGCATGGAATCAATTCCCAAGAACCCGATTCCAGAAGGTGACACCCAACAGGAACCAACAAGCCCTTGGGGTCACCGAAGTTCATCTATATAACTTCGGAGGGGGCCACCCTGGAAACTCTCTGGAAGAGACCTCTGAACGCTGAGGAGCTCCAGCTCTCAGCTCCACAACCTCACATTGACCACCTCCATCTGCGCGAAGACTTCGACCACGTCCTTGCAGCTTCTCCCCCGTGACCCACCAACACCGACGGAATCTTCTAAAATATCCATCAAGAACATTGACATAGACGAGCCACAAAGCGCCCTTTTTCACCTTAATCTGGGATCAAAGATCCACTTTCTCTCTCGCCACAAATGGCCTGTCACGAAAACTCCCACGGAACTCGGTCCTCGATGTCCACTTCAGCCGCCTCTTCTTGGCTGATGGCATCTACGCAAGTGATTCGCAAGTCTCCAGACAAGGAATTGCCCGTGCCAGGCGCTTGGAAGGCGACGGACGGAAGAACGACTTGGCCCGAGGAACCGCCGTGGATGGAGGCATTCACCTGAGCGAGCCGCCATCGATTCGACCGACCCCCGCAGCGAAGCGAGCGCTCGGCGGAGACCTTTCGGCCGATGGAAAACGTGAAGTTGCAGACATGCCCTCTCACGAATGATGAAGCCGGAGGTTTAGTGGGCATTTGCACTGGTTTTATGACTAATTGTTCCTGCTATGATTGAAAAATGTTAAAATAACTATATTTGAAAATGAATCGCTCTAAACAAGAAGCCAAAATCAAAAAATAGATGGGATGCATTTGAAGGATGCGACAAGGATAGGAAAAAAAATAGATAACTTCCGATAGCTGCTAGCTAGTGTCCAATACGAATGGAAACACTCAAGACAAGGCTCCACAGAAGATGAAGCAGAAGGAACCAAGAACACAGAAACAAATCTCGGACACGTGCGCACAAACAGAAATAGACTCGACATAGACATAGACACACGTGCTGAATCACTTGAATACACTCCATCTTCTGAATCTTCCAAGCATTAACATTACTGAGTATTTTCAGTGTGTGTGTGTACAGTGTACATAATAAGTACCGTACATATAGGCTCTAGATTCTACATTCTAGATATAGAGAGACTCTAGCAGCTAGCAGCTAGCACTCTGCTCAGTTAGACTCAGCTGATGCAATCTGCCAGCTTCAAGTTCTTTTCCTTGGTGCTACACGGCATCAAGAATAAGTCCAAGCAAGGCATGTCTTGCTCTTGCTGTTGTAGGTGAGCAATCAAGGCCCCGCCCTCCACGTTTTGCGCAGGTTTAAGAAAAAGGATCCTCCCTCCACGTCGGAAATCCACCCCCTGTGTTTTCCTCGGTTTTGCGCGGGGCTGCACCTCTGCTTGCACCCAATCTCGCACTGACGAACGGCAGCGGTGCTCGAGCCATTCCAGTAGGTTGGGCAACTGCTGCACCTTCACCTGAGACCAACTGTACAAAGGAGATGACTGTCGTCAAAACGCCCACATCACCCCTCAACCCCTAAATCCCTTCCAAGACTTTTGTCAAGCCCATATCACGCTTAGACTCTTATCCAAAGCTTTCGCGCAGGAGAGTGGAACCACGCTGTTCAGGGGTCTTTTGGAGCCGTCTCGCACGCGCCACCTGACCCGGTTCGAAAACGCTCCGCGCCACCTGCTCCGACGGCTCCGAAAAGTCGAAGGTGACCGAGCGGAGGATGAAGCCCTCCTCCTCGGACAGAGCATCCACCAGCAGGGTGATCTTCTCCAGTTCCTGCCGCCAACCGATGGAAAAAAGAGGCCACCCGAATGCGGGGCCACCCGCATCGAATGGGTTTATAGCTTTCACTGGTAAAGTCAGACTTGACACATCTTTACACCATGTTATACCTTGATCATCTGGAAGCTACTAGTAGCGGCACAAAAGACTTCAGATGTGGCCAGAAATGCACGTCACCTGCTGGCTCTTTCGTCGTGAGCCACCGAACCAAAGGCTCGTCTCCCGAAATCCGCCGTACCCGCGGTCCCAGTCCTTCAACTCTTGGATGCACTGGGACGGTACGGTCTCCGTAGGGTTCTCCTCGGAGAAGATCCGCGACTGCCGTCCCACCAAGAACCGCATGTCGCTCGCGCCTCCATCCAGTCCGTGCTCACTCAGGTGCTCCTCGTGCTCGTCGCGGGTGAGGCCCACGAAGTGTCCCGCCTCGGCAAGCTTCACCAGGAAGACCTTGGCCTTAAAGGTGACGCCGTTCGCGTCGGCCAAGCGGAGCGGCCCAGTGATGGGAGACGAGTCCGGGGACGAGCCGGCCAGCTCCACCATGGAATGGAAGCGCGCCTGGTCGTGCGAGCTCACGAAGTCCGTGAAGGGCTGGCCAATGGCCTGTCGAGTGGCTCTGAGCAGGCCTAGGAAGCTCTCGGAGGGCATGCCAATCTGCAAATCCTTTGAAATGGAGGCCGTGGCATCGCAGGTGATGCTCAACAAACGCTTCAGCGCATCTGCCATGCTGGTGGCTTCCTGTGCACACCGCTCCGCAAAGATGGTGGACACCACCTGCTTGGAGAGCGTGGAGTCACGGTTGATATACACCAGCAGCACCGAAGCCAAACAAATCACCTCGCTCACCGCAAAAAGGACCAGCTCGAAGATGGACGGCGTCCACAACACGAAGACCAGCGCATGAATTGGGAGTGAAGCTATCTGCATCTTCAGACCCAGCCTGGGCTCCGGCACCAGCTCAATCGCCGCAATCCGTCCCAGCCCCGCGACGCGCTGCAGCTCGGAGGGGGCCAGCACCGTAGCACTCAGCAGCACCGAGACCATAAGGGCCGTGTCCCGGCGAATGGTCTCAAAGCTTCCACATTGGTGGATGAAACGTAATAAGCAGCCCATCATCATCGCGAGCCACAGAAAAGCCACCTCGGCGTTGGACAAAGGATCGGAACGCTGGAGCCGCAACCCCATCTGGACTACTGCCGCCAAGCTGGACACCACATCATTCAAGCAAATCCAGAGAGGCAGCATGGCCCGGAAGTTCTCATAGTGCACAAAGTTCTTCTTCTTAGCTTCTTCTGGAGCTCCCTGGCCCACCACTGCTCCAGCTTGGGCCCACACCTCCTTGAAAGGGTGACCCCAAAAGAGCGCCAGGGAAAATTGCCCAAGGATGACTGGCAGCACCAAGGGCTCTAAAGAGATCCCCCAGAGGTCCATTGCTCTCAGTCCCGCTCGGATCCCCCACATGCCCGACCTGAGCCGAACACAACGGCTTCGGCATGGCCAGTGGCACAGCTGAGCTGGGGGATCTGTGCGACCGCAACACACATGCAGTGTGTGTGTGTGTGAGTGTGCGTGTGCGTGTTTGCGTGTGCGTGTGTGGGTGTGTGTGTGTGTGAGCATGTGTGAGCTGGAACGACGTAACCCTTCGTGTTGGTGATGCAGTAGTTGAGGCTACCTGCCTACAGCTCATGGACTGACCTTCATGGATTTGGGAGCACAGAGCATGAAAAGGACCACAGGTCTCAATGGTCACCTGCCTCCGGACGACCTAACAGCCTGTCTGAGTGGAACCCCTGTTCGCTGGTGGCCCCAATTGGCGCATCCAACCAAAAAGAAAGTCAATCTTTCCTTTTGAAGTTCTATGCGGCACTATGCGTCCAACCCCAACACTGCCCCACCCACCATGACATGACGACACCACCAGTCTTCGAGGTCCTGGTGGCGCCCAAGGCGACGGCGAGCACCAGCACAGTGCTCCACCGCGCTCGGCGAGCCTTGAGACAGAAGTTTGACAACTCCGAGTCGAGACGAGTGGAGACTCCAGGTTTCAGGGATTCAGGCGGCCTAGTCGAGGTTTCAAGGAAATGTTGCATTTGACAAACAAACCCCTGCGGAAGACTGTGCTGTTTCTCGATGTTTCTCGCATCACAGAACCCCCCCGGCCTATGTGGTCTCCAAACTGCTCAATCCTAAACTGACTAAGATTCAAGCCGCCCAAATGTCACAAAACCTGGCCCATGTCATGCCCAGCGGCCGGCTTCGCCATCATCTCTCTACGTTCGTTCGTTGGAGCACCGCCGGCTTGGGCCAGGCATTCGGTCGGGCAGAGGAAAGGTTCAGTTCCTGACTGAAAGAAATCAATAAGTGCAAAATGTTCAACCTTGAAAGACACGCTAAAGTTAAAGACCACCCCCACCCCTCTCATGGAGGCAATCTCTGACTTTCGAGGCCGTCCACTTCCATGGTGTTTTTTGGGGCGCACCGTCGCCCACTTCATGAACCACATCCCAAGGCAAAAAACAAAACTCACCACACACGTAGCACACCCCTCTGCTGGGTTCCCGGTGCTCGTGCGCGGAGCTCCAACTCAGATCTTTGCGCCTGCAGAGGGAGAAACAAATAACGCCTCGTCCGGTGGGAAAACAACCTCATCTGAGCGCCAGCTCCATCCCCGAGTCCGTTTTGAAGCATCTGCTTTTGCTGGTGGCATGACTTGGTCACTTGGTCTTTTGCCTTGTGGATTGCTTCAACGATAAGACCGGACAACGTGTTGCACACAGAAACGCCTCCTCTTTATAACCGCGTCCTTTTGTGGCAGGGTTTGTAACATAATTGTCGTTCCGTTGGTCCACCGTTTCACCGCCGTTTCGTTCCGCTGAAAACTCACGGGCTCGAGGTGACCATGGACTGTGCATGAAATAAAACCCCTGTCGCACCCAATGCTACAATTCCTGCATTCGAGCTCACACTACGGCCCATGGGATGAGTGAAGAATTGGCTTGCAGAAAGCACATCAGCATTGATGTCCGGCGGCGGGCGTTTCAATAGGAACATTCACAAGAAGTTTGAAAAGGCTGTTGCTGACATTCTCTTGAAGAAAAGAACGGAATCCGGAACAGGAACACATACAAGAAACATGTCACGAAAGCGGCTCCGAGCATGGTCATTTATATAGATATATATACCATGTTCTTCGGCACCGACCTCGATGTTCAGGCTACACAATCCCGTCAACGAAACTCCCTCCACATCGCCCTCAAAACGAGGAAAATACGGGCAGATGACTATGGAAACCTTGAGAAAGCGCCAAAACGTGACAAACCTTGAGGTATTCCCTCGGTTTGTTGAAATACCCCACCAGCTGGCCAGCTGGGTTTAGGCACAAACCAGCGCACCAAACTGGTAACTGGCCTCTTCAGCCTGTGAAGATTTCACTTGGAGTTCTCGTTCCAACGTCTCCACCTGGCTGAAAAGCATGACGAAGCACCATATATAGCACGGTATTGCAAATGGATCAATGCAAGTGTCAACACTTCAACGACTGTTCCGAGAATCGACGTAAACGTTCAACAAAACAAGTTTCAAGCGCGGCATCCTCGCAGTTTTGAGGTTTTGAGCGCTGGTCTGGAAATGCAACATTGACGTTTTGCACTCTCTTGTGCAACGCCGAAAACACGCAACCGCCAGCCTGCATGCTCAAGTACCTCCATGAAAACGAAAACAAAACAATCAAAAGCACCAGTTCCGAAGAAATGCTTGCCAACTTGCGTGCGACGGAAAATACTCCCGGAACCCTGAGGAACCCTGAAAGCCCATGAGCGCCACCGTGCCGTTTGCGATCCATCCAAGCACGATCCGGACCAGCCGAAAGCATTGCAGCCACGCAGGTTCGCACCCTTCCGGCCCGACCGTACCCATCGCCAAGTCGCATGTGCATATCTTCGCCATTCGGCGCCATGGGCACGCCAATGGCTTCCTGAACGCGATGCGCACCGGGTTTTCATGGTACGTGTGCATAGAATCAGATTCAAAGGAAGGTCAAAAACAGCTTGGCCAAACACTCGCCAACAGAAGGCACCTTGCCGCCCTTCTTTCCTTTCCCTTTCCTCAGGCGCTGCAACCGGAAAGGAAAGGTGCAAAGGTCAAAATGTGGGAAAACTGACCCTCTCGTCTTTTTTCCGTGCCCACTTTACGTGCCCACTCTACAACAGGTCAACTCCAACCGTTTTTCAGCCGCAGCGCAGATGGCACCTCTTTTTGGTTCACGTTGCTGTGAAAGAAGCAGGGGTGCAGTTCAAGTCTCCGTTTCCAAAAGTGTTTGATGTCCGAGTCGCTTTCCCATGGCACCAGCAAGATACAACTTTCCAAAGTTTGATAGGAGCGGCTGCAGCAGCAGGAACGAACAAAGCAAAAGTTGTGGATTGGCCGAAGAGGTTTCTTCCCTGATTTCATTATTGATTTTCTTGGTATCATCGCATGCCACCGACCAAGGAAACACCATGCCAACCGCGAGATTGGCCGAAATCCTCCACCGGCCAACAGCGCGGCTGACTGGTAGAACGCCTTGCTGACCACATTAAAGCTTTACTGCTTAGATATACTCCTGCATGCTTGATAAACCGGAGGCTGTGGACTCACGGTCCTTGTGGATGTACAAGGCCTGAGGACGAACGATTGGAATACTCAAGGCCTGGATGCTGCCCGGATCCAATTCCAGTTTTGCGCATCATTTCAGCCTTGGACGCTCCGGGAAACGACATGTTCAGTTTCAAACCTTGACTTTTTGGGGAATACACACACCTGGTCTTTATGTACGTGGGTAGTTGGGCCCGTCCGCTTGCAACATCAGCCTGCTGAGGACAATCTCAGCAAAGCCGTGTTTTTCCCTGCCTTGGGCGGCCATGAAAATTGTTCAAACGTGCGGCCGCTTGCGCAAAGCTGTATATTGTTCTTTGGAAATCATGGTAGCCCAAATGGGCTTCGGTCCATGCGCTGGTCTCGTTTGTGTTGTTCATTGTTCCCAATGTTCCTCCCACAGCACTGGGCATCCCATGCGTCCAACCACAACCACCCACATGCCGCCGAGGGATTAAGTTGAAATTTAAGGGCGAATCGGGAACTGTTGATGAGTCAATCATTTTTCCACCGGTTGCTGACAAGAAGTTGGCCCTGTCATGGATAAACATACTCGCGGCCCCCCCTCTTGATTCTTGATTGATGGTCCTTCGCCTGACCTCAGCCACGTCCTTGCCACCTGGGCTTGGCCATGGGCTGAGGCACGACAGTTTCGCTCGGTAACTGTCGTCCGTCCTCGCCTCCTTTCACCCGCCTCACCACTTGCCAGCGCGGGGAACAACATCAAACCAGGTTTCCGGTCCGCAAGACCAACCGATTGCCTCAGCGAGCAGCAGCACGAACCGGAGGGAAGAGAGTGGCTATGTGGCTGCAGGCAGCGAACCAAAAGCAGGCATGTAGGTTCTTGCTTCAAAGGCGTCATAGTTGTCTTCCCGGGGGCAGCAGCGGCATAGTTTAGGGATCCCTCGTGGGTAGTGGGTTGGGGGGTTTTCCGTTATCTTATAGAAAAATTAGAATGGGGTGTCCACCTACCGACCTCTATAAAATGCAGCGCCTGGCACATATATAGACTGTAAACCAGGCTTCAAGAATCTACCAAAAACTCATCAAGAAGATTTCACAAATCTCTCTATAGAATGCAGCAGCCAGGTTCAGCTGATTGCCATCGCTGCTACACAAATAGTCTCTATGAAATGAGATTCCAGGTCCAAGGTATCTGCAATCAAAAACGCAACATGTATCTATAAAATGGATACCACGTCCTTAGATCCCCCATGCTTGTTGGGCTGTATGCCTATCCAAACATTTCACAAGACTTGGGATGTGTCACGAAGGCATGATATAATATATGCAAATTGGCAACAAAATGGTTGTTGTACATAGAGATGCCGGCGCACGGCTCTGCATGGGAAGTTGCACATGGAGCTTGGAACAACAAACTGGCTTCCACAGGACCAGGTGCGTCAATTCATTTAGAAGGATGCTTCCTTTAGGCCCTTCCACATAGGCGGGGGACCAGAGGAGATCTATGGAGCACAAAACATGGATGAGACAGAAACGTGCGACCACCTCCAAGTACATCCGGTGTAAGACAAGGAATGTACCGGAGGCCCAAGGGTCGCGCAACCAGGGAAAGGAAAATGGTGGGTCAGGCAAGCAAAGTGAGACCAAGGAAAAAATGGCCAGCCGCAAGGGACCGATGCTGGAAAATGGTACCCCAACAGGCTGGCGGGCGGATTGGTAGAAAGCGAAACGAAGAAGACGTCCGCCCACTACTCAGCTCAGCAAAGGAGGCGTAGTGCAAGGTCGCTCAGATAAGGGGTTCAAGCCCCATCGAATCGGCGTCGAAGAACTGCCCG